CAGGCACAATACACTAATTTAATTCCCCAATTAAGTATTTCCTGCTCCTTTTTTCTTTCTTTTTTTTTTTTCCTGTGATTTTTGGCTGTTGCAAAATTTGTTTTGGTTTTGTTGTGGATTTTCTTTTCATCCCTCTAGAGTACAGCTACGTGATCTATTAGTAGTTAGCTAGAAGTTGCTCTAGCTTCCTTTCTTCTCCTTCTAGCCCCACAAGAATAACTGTCACCCTCACCAGCTGGTACTATCTGGATTAAAAATAGACATCAGCTGCACAATTGCAAATTTCTCCTGAGGATACCAACAGCAAGAGAGTTGACTAAAATTCTTCATACAGACAGCATCTAAAAACACATTAGAAATGACATCTCTCTCATCTTCTAAAGCTCTTAACACCACTCACTCTTGCCTTGCCCTCAGTATCTATTTCCACCAACTCTTCAGCTGCCTGCTACCAATTAGTGTTGATAACCTAACATGGATATAGCCCCATTAAATTTCTAGCAATGGCTGTAAGAGTTTTAACTGCTCAAAAGCAAATCATTAGCCTCTGGCACACCAGGACTCTGAATTGAACTCATTTTCCTTTTCACACTTAGATATTTATGAGAGAAAGAATGTCAAAGCATTAAAGGGGTATAGTGCTGTCTTACCTGTAACAGATTATGAAAAAGACAACCACCTGGTAAAATTTCCATAGAAAAATGCTTTTTCATTTCACATAAAATTCCATGTGCTTAATTATACCTTTAAAATACTAGATTTATTAAAACTACATTCTATGCTCACTGTAGTATTTAAGCAGAAACAGGATGGCTTTAAGTATGAAGGGACAATGTGGAATGTCAGGGCTCAGGGTTAAATTCCTTTGCTGAGTTTGTGGGTTACATTCAGTAAAGCATTCTTGTATTTCAAATGAGAACAATAATTCTTTTTTTTTCTCACTTTATCTCTCATATAATTGACATTTTTAATATGGTTTATTGGGCTTTTTTAAAGGTATATTTCATTTATAAGATGAAAAGTCAGCAGAGAATAAGGTTTAGGGCCTGTTTTAACAATAGCAGAACAATAGCCTGTTTTAACAATGCTAGTCACCACTTTATCCTCTAATGAAGCAAGATGCAGGGCTGCGCTTTCCCACTAATAGAAGAAATGTAGCCCTCAAAGTTTGAACCTCTGTGTTACAGAGATGGGATATTTATATTGTGTTATAACCCCATGTGGTACCTAAAGTAATTAATGTTGTCTGAGGCTCCTAAATGCTACCATAATACAATACAACTAAAATAGCTAAGAATAATGCCATCTATTTTACCATGTTAAAAAAAGGAGATAATGAACAATCAAAATCAGAAACACAAACACAGACAAAGAAGGGAACCAGGACCAGGAGAATCTCCTCATTCCCTACCATGAAGGGCTGTGCTCTTCATTCACACTGATGTAAACCTTGCAAGTGCTGACACACTATTTCACATGGATTCAAGGGACTGTAATTATTTTCTCCCATCCTGATCTTCCTGGAGCTGGAGTGCATGGCCAGTACTGTGCTGTCATTAGACACTGTCAAATGCTGTTAATGAAAATTAGCTGGGTGAGGGGTGGGGGGAGCTAGTGCCCAGACTATGTGGTCAACAGGGATTTTCAGTAAAGCTGCCTGCAATACTGATCCTCAGCTGATTATGAGGGTCTGCCTTGGGTCAACAATACATAGATATATCAGCCTGCTAACAATATAGTCAACTGTGTCTCATTTGAGCATCTTGAAATTGTCAGTGAGAAGACTACTAGCTTCCCTTCTTGAAGTTATTTAAAATAATCACCCTGCCTGTTCTGTGTACTTGCACAAGACCTGAAGTCTAGAGAAGTCAGCATCAAACAGTATTCATATTTAAGGAAATAAAGTACTTATCCATTCAAAACCGGAGAAACACAAGGAGAAAGATAATTTATCATGTCTGCTTAATAACTTAAGAAAACAAACAGTGAAATATGGCTTTTAAAATACATACTCTTTTACAATAATTTAATAAACCATGCTGTCATCTCATAAAGAATCTGGATGGTTGCTGTGGTGACAAAGATTATCCTTGTTGCTGCTTGATTCTGTCATTTTTCTAAACAAAAACTCGTAATATTTAGGATTTATAAACAATGTGTCATTGATAGAGATAAATTACATGCTTTAAACTGGCCATGTAAGTCTTCTACGGTATTACAGCCACTTTCTCAACTCAGCAATAAGATATGATATGATTACTAGAAAATTAAGGCTATTTGTCATGAAAGATGAAGCAGAGAGTATCAGAACTCTCAGAACAACAACAACAAAAAATATCCAATAATCTAATTCATTTCCTTATTTTAAATATTTTGAAGTTAGCAAATAGTCACTGTTTTCTATCTTGTGAATTAATCCAGAACAGCTTATATTGAGATGAGATTTATTTGTGCTGGGAAAATTTCTGTTGCAATATAGCAGAATTGATGTGTTCCAGGCTGCAATATTTTATAATGGTTCAGACTATAATGGAGCGTTTGTAAAGATATCTTAATTATGGGATGCTTTGCAATATATAAAAGCATATATGCACACACTAGTGTATTATGAAGACGTATTTAACTTTAAGGAATTTGTGTATGGTTTTTTGTATGTGTGGTATCCTAATGTAGCAGGGAGTTAATGAGATTCTCAGTGTAGTTGTCTAGAAAGTATCTTTTTGTGCACCATACTGAAATATTTGTGTAAAGCAAGCTTCGCTGCTGATACAATGTGAGCCTGATTTAGACAACCAGTTGTACAGTCATCGCTCCATACATATTTTGCAGTCAAACTAGCAGTAAATTTCCTAAACCCACAGTAATTTTGCAGCCGTTTTTCATTAATTTTTTCAATTAAAAAGTGTTTATACTTATTTTTTTGAGAAGAATACAACTATCTTCTGTGGTGAGACACATACAGATGACAAAAACACAGTGGAGCTGAGGCATTTTAAGAGAAGCAAGGAATATGTGTCTGTGTGAATGCCTCTGCTGGAAGAATATGATTTATCACTTAGTGGGTTATATTCATTTCTGTATGTAGGGTGACCTCTTGAAGTGGGTGAGATATGTCTCAACTGTATGTAGCAATGTAGAGGAAGTGACTCAGCCTTCATTAAGTCCTCTGAGTCAATGTTTGGAGGCAATCTGGAGCAATGGTATGGAGAATTTCTCAGATGTGCCCAGAATTAGGGAGCAATCCTCCAGCTGTTCTTGTCTTGCACCATTCCTACCACTTGTTACCTAAACTAGTTCATGCGTCCATTTAAGCAGAAGAAATGTCAATAGAAATAAAATATTCTCACATAGATGAAGAAAGAAAAACGATCCAGATTCAGCTGATATACAGTAAATCAGTAAAGTATATTTCTTCCTAATCACAGCCTTTGAGGTTTATAGAACAATAAATGAACTACACACCCAGGCTGAAAAGAGCAAGATGAAAAATGAATAAAAAGTCTCTTTAGCTCAATGACATCATATAACTAGCTTAGTTATGCTGCCATGCACTAGCGACTAACAGTGGTATGTATTTTACCTGTTCTTACTCTTTATCTTGGTGAAATAACATCCTCTATGTGAAGAAAACATAGGCTGATGCCATAGAATAGTTATGTTTTTGCAAACCAGACACAATCATTATTTCAGATGTCAAATACTATCTAATAAAAATATTCTGTATTTATTTTCAAGGACCTATGCAAAGATTTGGGAGGGAAAGTTCCATTTTCTACTGGGTTTGTTTGGCAATGTACATCCTGTTATAACCTGAGAAAATAACTAAGGTTGTAAGTGGAAGATTTCAGTTGTCTTCAATAGGCATTAAAGTAGCTCCTTAAATCTTAGATGTAATATGCATAACTTTTTTCTGTTGGATTAACTTTGGGGTCAGTGTTCTTCTTATTTAGGCCCTGCAGACAAAAAGTAACACTGAACAACAAGGAGGCACCTCCCACAGTCTAGTGAGATCTGCATTTGCTTTTGTCAAGAACAAATATGATCCAATATTTTATACCAGTTTCCTACTGCAGGAAATATATGCACAATACCATAAAAAAGGCCCTCAGTATAGTCTTAATGAACTTATTATACACCTTTTAAAAATACCCTTTAAATTTTTACAACTACATACCAAAAGGGCTATGAAAGCTTGATTTAATTGTTTACTCTTTCTAAAATTCAACATTTTTCATTTTCAATATTATCCTGGTTTTGGAACAATAAGGACAGTAGAAAAATACTTACGGAGGTATAATAATTGATAATTTAATATCAATAGTATAGTTGAAGATTTTTGTTCAAAAGAGATGGCAAAAAAATTGCAGATAAATGCTGTAGCTGCTTCCTCTTCTAACAAGGTAGTTCTCAGTGCTTTGGTATACAGTATGATTAAAATGTCATTCTCCCAGACGATGACCCCTAATCTGGAAACTTTTATCTCTGTAATTTGTAGAGAGCATTGAGTCTAGCTTTTATTGTGTGTTGGAGACACCAGCTCAGTATGTGAGCTTTAAAAATTTTATAAAACATACCAAAAAGAACATTTTTTCCCTTTCAAAGGTAATTTGGAAAACATACAATGCTGATCTTGGTAAACAACTGAAGATACATACAGAAAATATTTAGTAAAAGCACATTTTTTCTGATTCATGACCAACATGTTTCTGTTTATAGATCAGTAAAACCTCTTCTTGCCTTTAAAAGTAGCTATATGGCTCAATTAAAAACAGAATAATTATTAGAGATGCTCAATGCTGTGATTTTTATCCATATATATTGTCTGTGTATATATATATAAAATTGAACGATACTGTATGTATGCAGATGACAAAGCCATGGTTCTGCTATAATAATTGAAGCATTAGCACTTTTTAATGTTTTATTATGAGAATGCATCTGATATTTTTGTGTGTGAAAATTATTTTGAAATTAATAAATCTGCATTGCATTGTTTTCAGAAATTCAAAAAGAGGAAACGGAGAGATACGAAAAACGAACACTGACAAAGGGTAACTTTGTTTTTTTGTCTGTTTGCCTACATATATGTATGTAATATACAGTGTCTTTGTTAACTACATTACAAAAACGTAGTTTAATGTATTGTAAAAGCATCCAAAGATCAGTTGACACTGACTGTAAAAGATCAAAAATTTCTGTATATCTTAGCAGTAACAAAAATAATGTAATTTTATGTTTGTGTGGCTATATTGTAAATGCAAATTCTTAATAAGATTCTCTCAGGCCAAACTTTTCCAGTAATCTTTTTTTCTAGCAAAAGTGCAAAAAGTAGAGTGTTGATGAAAATTCCTCTGGTGCAAAAGGCATGAAGTGTGTAGGGCAAGGAAGAAAGTAAGTTTATAGGCCAGTGGGTGCCATCCAAGTTAAAAAGTCATAGTAAAAAGTGAGCCAGGTGTGTATCAGAGATAAGAAAGGCCTCCATTTTAAGAACCTACTCTTTTTCAGGCTGTTTAATCTCTTATAACTGGCACTTTCCAAAAATCCACAGAGGAACTGGTTTGGACTGGTTTTCAGAGGTCATGTAAACAAAGAAGTTTCCCTAGGATGTGTGCAGATTTTTTGCCTAAGAAAGCTCTCCTGTAAAGGTTAGGCCAAAAAAACTTGATGAGCATCCCTCTGATGCACCAGTGCTGTGCTTGGTAATGGCAGGAGGAAGCAAGGAGGAATCTTATTAAACGTAGTAGTTATACACATACACTCTCTCACACACAATTACATTCATTTCTATATATATTCTTAGTATGTTCTTATAGTATTTTACACGTCTAGAGCTAGCTTACCAGTTCTGTGTTCATCAGGGTCCTCTGGACTGCCTAGGACTGCTTCCCAACTACTAAGTAAATCATGTTGGATCAAAATGAAATTTTAGGGTACCAGTGGGCTAGCTAGGCAGTAACAAACTCAGATCCATTAGCAAGGGATCCAGTTATGGTCTTTTCAAGCACAGTAATCTAAAAAAACAAATGATGTTGCAGTCTTGACCAGAACAGCCAGTACCATTTCATATATATGGAATTACACTGGTTTACATTAACCTTGCAGACATGATTACTAAGAAGTTGTAAATGCCAAAAAAAAAAAGAAATGTTCAGGTGTCATTAGTTAAGTCCCTTTATGTATGTGCCTGATAATGCAGTCTTTAAGGACAAGACAAATAGTTTTTTTCTGTGTTTTGTTTTCATGTTTAGTCCCAAAAATGCTACTTGTACATAGAAGGATCAACTACTTAAAAACATTCTGTCTGGCTTCAGTCTAGAGCAGGATAAAGGCATGAATCTTTAGGGGAATTTTACTGTTGCCTTCTAAAATACCTTTAGGAAATATGTACAAACATAATCTTTTGTTGTTATTAATAGGAAAAATCCAGCGGTAAAATGAATGTTTTTAGTAACAGCAAACAACAGAAAGAATTTCAGTTCTCCACCCAAACATGTGGGGACAATAGTGTTTTAAAAGTAATTTAATTATATATATTTTTTTAATAGTCAAACCCTTTCATTCCAAGTCCCATAATTTACAAGGGTGTTCCATCCATAAGACTCATTTTGGAAAGATTGAACCGAAATATGAAGAATAGTTGTAATGACTAAAAATCCCAGATGGAAGTGGTTGAAATTATGAGATTCTAACAGTATTGAGAACCAGGCAAACTTGTGCCTTAAAATTTGCTTTTAATTAAATATTTTGAAAAACTACCAGCAATAATGTCCATCTCAATTACTGTAGTAAATTTAATCCTGGAAAGAAGAAATACTGTGAGAAATAATTCCACGAAGCAGTTGGTCACGCTTAAGAACCCTGATATCAAATTATTCAATGATTATGTGTACACATAACCACAAATTCACTACAAAACAGGTCTTTCCAATTTGGTATTTGATGTATTAGTACTTTCACAAGGGTCAGTGGCACCCTGGACCGTATGAGCAGGAGTTTGGCCAGCCAGCGGAGGCAAGGGATTAATTATCCCCCTACACTAAACTCTCCTGAGACCACATCTAGATACTGCCTCCAGTTCTGGGCCTCCCAATTCAGGAAAGACATCCATAAACCGGGGCAAGTTCAGTGTGGGGCCACTGCAGCGGCCAGGGTTGGAGCAGTTGTCCGCAGGGGAGAGGCTGACAGATAGTGCTGTCTCAGCCTGGGGCAGCTGTCTCTTAGTCCATCATTTTGTGATAGTTTGTAGATTTTGCAGGACTCTGAGCTGCTGCTGAAGGCTGTTTAAGAAATAGGTGTCGTAATTATTATTGTTGCTAGCAAAGAATAAGCTATGACTGTGCCTTATGTTGTCAACAAGTAAGAACAATAATAAAAAATATCAAGATAAAAGTATATGTAAGGTCCAATGATAGTTTCTGATTTTTATGGAAAACTAATTGTCCTGCATTTCTGGGAAATAGCTCTAATTACAACAGGCATTGAGAAGAAATGGGAAAAGTTTGATTTACCATGTGGTTTTCCCCAAAATCACTTCACTAATACATTGCTGTTGGAGTGAGATAAGGAAGAAAACAATATATGATGGCTACCTCTGACAGATTTATGTTAAAACAGTGATTTTAGGACAGATATGCGTGTGCCTCTGGGTTAACACTAGCCACACTGGGGTTTTTACAGGAAGTATCTCTAAATTCAGGCTGATTTGACAAATAGAGTCCAGGCCCTTCAAGACTATTTCATTTACTATACATAGCATAATGGCTTGTTAATAAGGCTGTACTGATAATGGAAATATGAAACATGCCAGAATAAAGCTCTCTGTATTTTAACATATGGATAAAGTATGAGATTATAAATACAAATATAGTTTGTCCCAATAATGTAATTTGCTGTAGCTGGAGGACAAAGTATTTGAGACAGCTAAATAGATAAATAGACCTGGACCATATAAATCCATAGCATGTTAGAAACCTACATAATTTGACCAAGTTAGCAAATTAAATGGTGTATTTTTGGCACAGGACTGTCTAGCCTGATTTCTCAAGGTACAGCTACAAACATACCTACGTTAACTTTAAACTAGGGAACATGGTACTGATAGTGATGTAGCTGTGGTTTCCTTAAATTACTGACTTGGACTTGGGAGTCTATGCCCCTCTCCAGAAAAAGCCCCTTTTTTTTTTCAGTGTTCCTTCAAGAAGAATTAAGTTATAGCCATCTACAGTTACTTTACTTCCGAATGAAAGCATCTACACAGAGATTTAATGCTCTCTGACTAATGCACTGTAACTTCATTGTATTAGTTCATTTATCTTAACTTTCCTGAGAGTGCTGCTCTGTAGACAAGCACTTAGTCAGTTAGCTGGAGCGAGCAATCTCTGCTTCATGCTTACTGCACTCATCACCTAGCTTTATACTAAGCAGCAGACTTAAGGCTTACTCAGATGGAAACTATTTTTACTTCCCTTCGGTATGGAACTAGTGCCTACTTACTACATCTCTTATTTTTGCACTTTCTGTTTTGGGGTGTGGAATGACTTTGTGGAGAACTTTATGGGAAAAAAACTAAATCATATCCCCCTTTACTATGTCTTCAACTTGATGCAAATAAAATCTATATTGAAATCTGGAAAATCCTCTCACATATATGCTACGTTTCTTCTTTTTTTTTTAGTTTTATGTGACATAGATAGCAATATTAACTTTGGAATGCATTGTTAAATTACCTTTTAAAATTTTCCATAATGAACTCCTATTTTAGATTATTTATTAATTTATCATACTCCAGTCACCGAGGATGAAATTTCTCATGCTCATCTTTTTGCCTCTGGCTGAATTTTCATTCAAAGACATATAAAAATGTTTCAGCAATTTCCAAAATCTAGGTTAGTGAAAATTAGGTTGGGGTGTTATATTTTTTTCCAGTGCTAATAACAGTTCCTTCTGAGTTTATGACTTTTGGTATTTGCAAAGAAGTACGAGAAAATTTCTTTTAAGTTGTGGAAAATTTTTAGCTTACGCAATTATTATTATTATTATTATTATTATTATTATTATTACGTGTTTTACTTATTCTTAATTTTTTTCTGGATGAATCCAGTATCCTATTAACAAAAGAGAAGAGGTGATCTTTAAATTAAAAAGTGTGTCATAAAACAAATAAAATTGTTGAATTAAAGTCGAATGAAGAGGTTTAGCTTCAGCATTTTTCAGCTGAAGAGTGTGTGGCTGAGCAGCCTTAAAAATATTTTTTTATGCTTTCTTGTTTTCTTTTTTTTTTTTTCTTTTTATATATATGGAAAAGAAAATCTGTTCAAGTCTAATTTGTTTCACAGTATGGCCAGCCTGGCTTATTCTAAAACCTAATGCTTGTACCGAGTGCTGCAGGCTTGAAAAAGGGCATGTATTAAGCCCTTTACAAAGAAATAGATATCCAAGTGACAAAATCTGGAAAAGATCTATAGACAGTAATGTATTTTCTATGACAGAATTTTTAGGACTATATATGAATCTGAACACAAAAACATTTCAGGGGAGAGTTAATATGCTAAGAAATATCATATTTATATTTGTCAGATCAAAATCTTCAGTGCATTTTGGTGGACTTATGATTGAAGAGTCAAAAATGGCCAGTCATCACAGCCCTGAAACATGAACACTTTAATTTTTGGCAACACCTGCCCTTCCCAAATTAGGGAAGCCATAGCTCTGACAGTGTCCGTAAGAGGTAATGGTAAACATTACAGTCTGAGATTAGCAACCTCTGAGGCTATGGGTATATCAACACACAGGATAGGGCTCTTGAACTAACTAGAGATCACCTTCGGTCTATAACTGGGAGGAGAAAAATAGCTTATGCTTATGCCAGCCTGGTCTCTGCTTATCAACATTCCAGGCTCCCTGCCCAGATACATCAAGGTTTTTATTTCTCAAGAAGGGGACAACTGATGCCTTCTCCACGGTTTTAGTTCTAGTCCACACCAATATTAATAACTTTATACACCTTAGTGCTTTATACTGCTTTGAGGATGTGAAGGAATCTTAAATTTTTCTGTCCACTTTCAGATCTGCTGACACTCAATTCAGTTAGCGTCATTCAAGGCTCATTTTCTGGTGTTTTTTGTTTTGCTTTGGGTTTTTTTCTCCTCAAATCATGCCCACAACAGTCTCTCTTACACAAATAAGATATCTTGCGGCTAAAAACAAGTTTTCTGATTACAAGTCTGTTCTGAATAGTTCATCTGTGTTTTTTGGCATAGACACTACAAGGGCTTTTGTCTGAATGTGCAAAAGCTCATATTTCACTTACATGGATCATCACAGAACTGTTGTTAGCAAAACTGTTCTGTTGCCCCAGCCAAAACTGACAATACACTGGTTTGAAGTGTTTTGCACAGAGCCAGCATCTGCTAATACAAATGTAAGATGTAAAAGCATGCTACAATTTCTGCAAAAAATATTCAGTAAGTTCTACATGGTATATATAGAGAGGAGAATGATTTTTCCTTGGTATGCTACTAGATGTCCTAAAGCACTTGAATGAGTTACAGTCCGTAATTCATTCAATAATACATTGCTGGTACTGCTGCATTTTTCACAGTCTGCTTTTTTTTAGTGTAAATTTGCTGTCCACATTTCTAAAGGCTTTGAAAAATCTCCCTTCAATCTCTTTCGACTGTACTGCTATTTGTTATCAACAATAATTTACCTGTTATGACTAGAAATGTATTTGGATAATGCAAACACATATAAGACATAATGAATTTACTGAATGTTCTGAATTACTTTTCTTACGGACGATGACCTATTTTTTAGTGCAGAAATACTTAACAAATAATGCTTGTACTTCTGTGAAATGACGTTCACTACAAAACTGTTAAAACAAATGGATGAAAAAGCATTAATATGCCTGTGTATAAAGCTCACTGTTGTCTTTTAATCAAAGTTTTGCTTTCTGGGGTTTACTTGTGAACAGAAACTTGAGTATTGAGAATAAAATAATTTTTCCGTGAAATTGCAAAATTCTAGTCTTTTAGTAGTACAAGTTGACAAGGAATGACAAAGAATGAAATGTCTACCTAAATCATTAGGATGTGGGATGTGCCTCTACGTAGGCAATAGAGTCCATAAGGACTCATGTTTGCCCGCTTCTAGCAGGACATGCAGTCGATTGTGTTTAAACAGCTGCTCTTCTTGAAGTTACACTGATTAAAAGATGTTTTCTTGTTAATCTACCCTGTGACGGAAGTAGCAGCTAAAAATAAAGAAAAAATAGCATAGAAAGCAATATGCTGGCAGGTTTTATGGTTAAGAATAGAAAGCAATGCTGTCAAGGACTGAAAATAATTTCTTCTGTCAGAAATCTTAGAGCCAGGTGCTTGTGTAATGGGACCAAAACAGATCAGACAGATTGGATTAAGGTTGCTGAATAATCATTTCTTTCAGAAAAATATAGTCTAACATCTGAAAGCTTATTCAAAGAAAAATATTTCTCTTGGACCTGGAATTAAACATTGACATTAAGAAGGTTTATATATCATCAAGTACCCATGACTCAGAGCTAAAATCCATTATTTGAATTTACAAATGCTTTTCCTTGATAACTTTTGTGAGATAATAAGGGTACGTAATACCTCTAGATTACAAATTTATTGTGAGCTGGGATGTATTTATTTATTTATTGTTTGTTTGTAGCAATTCAGAGAGATAAACCTGAAAAACAAGAAAAAACTGAGAGGAAGGAGCCCCTAAAGGGTATGTATTCAACATTTTATATTCTTTATCTTTTTACCAGTGGTTCAAAATAGTCTAATCTATTGTCTTAGACTGTTCTTGTAGATCCCAATTATGTTTAAGGACGGAGGTGTTGTGAAAGCCAGCTGGAAGGAGAACAAGGACTTTAAAAGCACTTTGAATTCATCACTGTACAAGAAGTCTGAAATTATATCTGGAGATTAATGAATAATTTTTATTGCATTATTAACTTATGTCAAAGATGTCCAGAGCATAAATAGGTGCCTTTTTTATTCTTACCAGAGAATCACAGAATATTTTGAATTCTTGAATAAATCCAAGCATGATATTTGTCATTGAGAATACTCCTAGAAAAATGTAATGAGTAAGTTACAATATACTGGACACGGTCCCCGGAGATATTCTACTTTGGAGACCCTCCTTAGAAAAAAAAATCCTTCGGATTCCTTTCAGAGACATTGGGGACAGGTTTTAGAGAGATTTATTAATTTTCTGTTGGTGGTGCATGCCAACAACTGATTAAGATCTGCCTGTTGCAGGAGTCAGAGTCAGGATACAGCTTACTCTTCGCCCATGACTCATGAGTTAGCTCTGGGTTCGAAGAGCCACAATCTCCCCATTGCCTTTTGTGAGGGATATTGTAGCAAAATGAAACTTTGTTGTAGGGTACCTAATTGTCGAAACAATTTAAACCTTCTGAGAACATGTCCTTTGCAACAAACGTGGCTAATGTAGTCTTGGGCTGGAGGAAGAAACACATTCTGGAAAAGCTGATAGGCCAGTGGTCATAATAAATCACTCAAAAAAGGGAAGACTGAATATCCAGCATTAGTAGACTTATTCAGGCCAAGAACACAAGTCTCACAACTTGAGTGAATGTACATTTCCTGAAATCTGTACTTGACTAGTCCTTTCTAGTGAACTCTGACTAAAGCTTTCCCATTTTATGTAGGTAACTCAAAATGCATTGAGTTAACAAGACTAAATTTAGAGGTTAAGGGCGGGCATATAAATTTAGGTTTCTGATGGAATGAATATTTATTACTAGAAAATGGAATGGTGGTAACATGAGGAATTTTTTCTGAAATTTTGAAAAACGACATTGCAAAACCAATAATGTCCAATATTAAAACAAGAATGTGTCTTTGGGAGTTCGATTATTATGTGGAAAACAGGAAACTCTTCAATTGGATTTCATAAGAGAACAGTATTTAATTTTTTTTAAGTTTCTTGGAACAGGAAAAATATTATCCCATCCAATCTCAGACAATCAGTAAAAAAGAATAATGACTATTATACACAGAATCACAGAACATGCTGACTAGGAATGGACGCACAAAGATCATTGAGTCCAACCCTTAGCCCTGCACCCATTCCCAAAAGTCACACAATGTGCCTGAGAGTATCATCCAAATGCTTCTTGAACTGTCAGGCTTGGTGCTGTGACCACTTCTCTGTTCCAGTACCCAACTCTCTGGGTGAAGAACCTTTTCTAATATCCATCCCAGACCTCCCCTGACACAACTTCAGGCCATTCCCTTGGGTCCTGTCACTGGTCACCACAGAGAAGAGATCAGTGCCTAACCCTCCTCTTCCCCCGACAAGGAAGTTGTAGACTGCATTGAGGTGTCCCCCCACAGTCTCCTCTTCTCCAGGTTGAACAGTCCGAGAGATCTCAGCTATTCCTCATGTGGCTTCCTCTCAAGTCCCTTCACCATCCTCACTGCCCTCCTGTAGATGCTCTCTAAGAGCTTAATACCTTTCTTATATTGCAGTGCCCAAAACTACACACAATATTCAAGGTGAGGCCTCACCAGCGCAGATCAGAGAGGGACAATCCCCTCCCTCGACTGGCTGGTGATGCTTTGCCTGATGCCCCCCAGGACACAGTTGGCCCTCCTGGTTGCCAGGGCACTGCTGACTCATATTCAACTTGCCATGGACCAGGACCCCCAGGTCCCTTTCCATGGCACTGCTTTCTAGCATCTCATTCCCCAGTCTGTATGTACATCCAGGATTGCCCCATCCCAGGTGCAGAATCCAGCACTTTCCCTTGTTGAAATTCCTATGGTTGGTGATTGTCCAGTCCTCGAATTTGTCAAGGTCTCTCTGAAGGGCCTCCCTGCCTTCAAGGGAGCCAACAGCTACTCTGAGTTCTGTATCATCTGCCAGCTTGCTTAGTATCTCTTCCAGTCCTGCTGACTTAACTTGCCATAATTCCTATTAATATTCTGTTTACCTAATGGCATTTTGTCTTAAAGTTAACATATTAGTTTTGTTTAGTGAAATACTGTCATAATTGCTTCTGAAACACTACTGTGTGTAGAGACTCTCTGTATTCACAGCACTAAGAAACATTGCTTTTCAGACTGTACATTAAATTTCAAAGCAATGACTATGGATATGTGTCTTTCCAAGTCCCATTTCACTGTAGTGTGACAGGGAGACTCCAGAGACTGCATCCCTGTATTTCAACTGCTTATTTTCTGCTCTAAACAGAGATATAGATAATGGAGAATGTAAATAGCATTCTATTCTAATTTATAATCAAATTCTGTGATGAAGTTTAGGAAAGTTATTTAATGGCACAGGGAGTAATTAGAAGGGTCTCAGTCACTTAGAAGTGACTTGGTCAGCTGTGTCAGGAACCCATTTTCATGTATTTCATCACTATATTGCTGAAAAAATGTGAAAGCTGGAATATTCCCTACCATTCTTCTTTTGCTTCCATTTAGATATGGAATTCATGGTACTGTAATGAAAGTTTGTTATTTCCTCATGTTTGTCAAAGGGAGTTTTCCTAAGCTTGAATGAAATCTTCACAGGAGTTAAAGCTAGCTTGCAGTTTCACAGCTGACTTTTCTGAAGTGTTCTAAAATCTACATGCTTATTTTTAATTTTCTGGAAAATTATAGAGTAAAATTTTAGCAAAATGAGTGTAAAATGTGCTCTGAGTGGACAGCATAATGCAGTTTCCACTGTCATGATGTTAGTCTTCACTTTTTTTTGCACATACTGGGCATCTAATTATGGTTCTGAGATCATCATTGCCAGGGACTGATCTCAGCTGGTGTCCATTACTAGCTATCCGTATCCATTACTGGTTATCCATTTCAAGTCATCTGGCAAGTGATAGATGCCTCATTTGTGCATGTGATGCTCTTATGCTCCAGGATCCATTCCAAGAATTTTAAAACCTATGTCTGACAGAGTATGGAGTGGACAGGGTGAAGTCCTCTTTCTATTGCAGGCAGCAGCATTTACTGTGAGCTCTGCCTTAGTCCTCAACAGTTTTCTGAAAATCTCTCTTCAGGAATTGACAGACAATTGCAAGAGATGATGCTACTGTAGTAAACAGCTGAGGCATGTTACCATGGCAGTAACTTGTTAGCCAGAGTTGGCTCTTAACACCCATGAAGTGTGATGTATGCTATGCAAATATGTATGGGATAGCTCAGGAGTAACACAGTATGCCATTTTGTCTCCTAAGGCTTAGGAATTATTTTTGATTCCTAAGTTTTTCCACTTTTTTTTTTAATATATGTAACACTTTCTTTCCTAGTGACACATAAAGACAAACTGGAAAGACAAGAAAAACCTGAAAAAAAGGAAAGGCATGCAGGTAATTATTTAATGTCAGATTTTATTTCACATTTGGAGATACCCCAGAACTAATTCTCTACTCAATTTCCATTTATGTATCCCCTTGATTGGAAAAAAGAGTTATAGAATAATATGAACAAAAATAATGAGATTATATAAAGTTTTGTGGACTTACAGACTGAGCAGCATTTTGTATTCGTCTTGCATGTTTTTGAGGTTTTTTTCTGAAGGATGGAGATAATATATTTTGTACTCTGGATTAGTATAATCTCATGGTAATAACTGAGTGTTTCCAGCACTCGCAATAAGTATGGTTGCTAAGAGACTATGGTCATCCAAGAAAAAAACACCTAATAGACTGTAAACAAAGGTAATGAGGCAGGCCATGAGAAAAAAAAAAGGCATTTTAAATACAATACTGTGTAGGGACATTTCAAAGGCATTGAATAGGGCAGGATTAATTCTTTCAGTATTTACTTGCAATAAAAATTATCTAGCACTGTTTTATCTTCCACAGTTCTTACTTTCTTTTTAAACACCAACACAATGCTCGTGCATACATTTTTGTGTTCTTAATATAATCTTATATATCAGAGTCAAACAGGGAGATGAGTGTTTTCACACATGGTCCCTGTAGGGAATATGAGCACATGCAAATATGAGTCCTGCATACCTGTGGACAAGTTACTGTGTAAACATTAATTGCAAAAAATTAGCAAATCAGAGCCCACACAGAATATTCCAGACTACCCACCACTCTGTGACTACTGTGCAACTCAGGTGTATTTTGAAACCCGAGCCGGAAATCTAGTCACTACAGTGTAGATAATTTGAATTTGTAAAGTGGAAATTAAAAGCAAACAAAAAGCCCCAAAGAGCATTAGTTATAATGTCATTGCAATTAGATCTGTAATTAATTATAATGTTAATCATTCATAGCTGGAAAAACTGTCAGTTGTTCTGTGGAGTTCAGCAAATCCTTCAGATATTAACCAAAGTTATAAACAAGAACAATAACATAACAATAACATAACAATAAACTAAAATTAACCAATAAATTACATTATACAAATATATATTAAAGAAAAAAGAACCCCTAAACAACATCCATAAGTATGACTCTTCTTGACTAATTTCTTTCATGGGATTACAGTCGAGTTAGAAAGGCCACTCCTCCCCCAGCCAATGGCAAAGACCTCAGGAATGGTAGAAGAATTTTTGAAAGTTCGAATCTCATATTTTGGCATCAACAGCAGACAGCAGCAGCTAAATCAATCTTTCACATTCTTTGCATGGATAACCCTGGTGCCTAGTTGTGTTTCTTCATCTTTTTTTCTCCTCTTTCTCTCTTAAAATGCAACTTTTCTCTTCCTAAATGGCCGTTAATAATGTTGATTTTTATTTCTAGCTATTCACAAAGACAAACCTGAAAAGCCAGAAAAACCTGAAAAGAAAACACCTACTAAAGGTAAAACAGATTGTCTTCAGATATTGTACAATTTTAGATTTTCAATGCTTACATAGTGTAGGAGAGTGTGAAGATGAGTATTTAAAATATAAATCTCTTTTAGTTCATGTTGTACATTTTTGGGGCGTTCTCGCTTCTGCTTGAGCAGGTCTTGATCAGCCTCTGAGTGAAGTCTTGCTCAGCGTATATCTCTTGCTTAGCTCTCTTGTTTTGTTGGACAGAGTTAATTACAAACCATTCTTATACAGCTAAGGAACTAAGCTGTGCAGACCTAATGCAAGAGTGTTCACTGTCTCTCAGTCTGGGTCTTCCATCATATCCAAAAATAGATTTTCATTTTCCTGCCTTTATATTTTTCAGTAACATTTTAATTTCAGTACACGATTTGCACTGTCCTCCATGGCAGAAGTGGCTTTGGTTAAGATTTACATATCAACTAATTATCATATATATTCTAAAGCAATATTGTGTGTGTGCAAGAGGTGAATTTTTCTGACTGATAATTCCATCTTTGCCCCGATATGGACAGGGGATTTAAAAATCCAATCACCTTGCCCTATTATGCCATTTTTTAAAGATTAACATTTATTGTTGCTTGACATTTGAATGTTTTTCTCTGAGGTTAAATATTTGTCTGAGGGAGTCACTTCTTTAATGAAGTTTAGTTTCAGTCTTTGCCTCTTTTTACTTTACTCAGTTAACTCTTGAAAAAACACTATGCAATGTGTCTTAGTATTGGTCTGTTAGGACATTCAGATTACTTTCATGATGATGAGATACATAAATTAATTAGGTTTAATTTTAATCTGTTCAGACAGTACTTGACTGTACTCTATGGAGAAAGGTAGAACAGAAGGTAGGAGTGAAGAAAGAGAGAAAGCAGAATGAAGACTTAAAGACTTAAAAAATTTGAAAGATAGCCATTGTCCAGTTTCTCTTTTAAAGGGATATTTCTTCATTTTTTCTACTTTCAGTGTATAGCTTGAAAGTGTAGAGTTGGGTTTTTTTCCATAAAACAAAATCACACCGAAGTAATCCAGAGAAAATAAATGCCCAAAGCGTCTGTGTAGATCTGAAAAGCAAATAATTTCCAAGAATCACTGAGATAGCTGATAATGAGCAGCCAGCCTGTTTATCCATTTATCTTCTGCCAGCTAACCAAATAATCACTTAGAGCTTTAATGTGTTTAATAACAGCCATAACTCCAGTTACTGGCTGAAAAATTTTATTAAGACTTTGGACACTTTGTAGCCGAGGAGATTTACTGCTGCAATCTGACATACAGTCATGCTACCCTCACTTGGGTAGTTTCCCTGCTGTGTGAGTCCCTACAGGTGGACTCAGGGCACCAGGGAAGTCATTCTCAGTGTACTCAAAGGTGCATTTCTTCTAGCAATGTGCTACTGAGTTATCTATTGCCAGGCTCACCTTCCTTTTCTCAGGGGTCTGCTCTAAACTAGATCAGCCATCAGCAGTGGTGAGGGGCTATTTCAACCTCTTGCAGTCCCTAGGAAATGAGGATGTTCAGGTCAGGCCAACCTCAGGGAATGGGTATCCTGAAAATTGGCTGCTTCCCCCACATTCAGCAGATTTTCTCTATTCTTAATAAAAAGACCAAAGGTAATTCTTCACCCTCCATTAAAGGCTCCAGAAAGCCTCAGTGATATGAATGTTATTTAAACACATCATCTAAGAAACAGCTATCTTAAAAAAACCCCAAACCAAGTCTAAACGTCAGTCGTAACTCATACAGGCAGCAATTCCAGGATGGAGTTCAATTAGAGAGGATGTTGTTATTATGTAGTTGTCGGTTGAAACAAGTCTAATTAACTCTCGAGGCTGTTTTGTTCTGGCAATCTGTCTGGATGGTGACCAAGAGGGGAGAGATAGAAGTCTCTGCATAAAATTTTGTCAGCCTTTCTGCGACATAGCAGTGTGTGTGTGTTTACACAGTGTATCCTGTGCAGACATGAACTCACTCAAGCTGGGCTCTGAAGTGAGTGCCAGACTTGTGGCTGTGTTTGTGCAACAATGAGCCCAAGCTAAGAAAACCACCTTTCTGTAAGACAAATGTAGCCCCATGGTTTCTTTTTGACTGGAGTACAAGAAGATCAAGTCCGTGTATTCTCCCAACTTGAGATGAGCAAATTTGTATCTTCTGAAATATGCAGTATAAACATTCCCAGTGAAGCTCGAGATCTGTGTGACTCATTTGTCTTCTGGTTAGAGACTCTCAAGAGATATTTTGAAGCTTTTTACCCCACTATGTGGACCTGAGAAAAAGAAACAAGAATTTTGAAAACTGAAAAGCAGGAATTATAAGGAAATGTGAAATTTCCAGGGATATTGTTGTGATTTTGCAATATTTTCTCATTCTTTGTGAGTTTTTTTCCCTAACATACAATTGTTCTCATTTCTAGTAACTCAAAAAGACAAACCTGAAAGACATGAAAAAGCTGAAAAGAAACCTCCTCCTCCTAAAGGTATTTATCTATATTTTTTAAACCGAATTTACATTAAAATGCATAAACTTTATTTTATTCAACCAGAGATTTTCAATATGCATGAAAAACCAGCTACATGAAACTAAAATGAAATTCATATATAATTAGATTTAAAATGTCTCTAGAACACCCAGGGATAAATTCTATGCTTGATCCCCTTTAAAATCTGTTAAAATTTCAAAGATGAGAATTAAAAATATGGATCACCATTTCCCCGAAAAACAACTAGGCCTATCTGTAAGTGATCTGACATATATTTTCACTATAACTAGTTAAGGAAATTAATTCTACACTAGCCAGCAATACCTGTTTGTGCTGTGGCTTTGTTTGGAAGGAGAAATGCTCTTACCCAAATATCTACATTCTGATCTATAATACTTAGATCTATTCTGTTAACATATTGATAAAATCAGTCTAGTCAGCCCAGTGGCTTAATAGAAATAGAAGTCTAGAGCCTTACAGAAAACATAGGTTTGGTCACACACGAGTTTTGCCTCAAAGATGAAGACATTTAGAGCTATGAAGAAAATAGAAATATGAACTTCTTGGACAAAGACAGAGAATCAGTGCATGAAAGAAACCCTTAAAAATAGCCACACACTAACTACTTTTCCAGTTTACAACAGAGTTTAACTCTGATCTCTTAATTTTAAATTTACTCAGATTTTGCCTGGAAGTACCTTCTGTATTTGTTTGCTTAATGACCAATATTTGTCTCCCTAGTTTATACCATAATAACTATCATACTGTCATTAGAAACACTTGATATTATTTGCCATAGCCTACTTCATCTAGTATCAGTCAAGTACTTCGTGAAGGACTGAAGTTAAAACCTGTTTGCATCTCATATTTCTGTTTAAGTTTGTCCAGTTTGAGGGGATTATAGTTTTTATCAGATCTGATCAAGGTGTTAATAATGTCTAATGCTGATTAGTAATAGCACAGTATAAAATAAATGACACTGAGTATTATTTTTGGGGAAAAGAATGACACTGAAAGCTTTTTCTTTATTACCTGCAGAGGAGAAGAAAGTAAAGAGCACTAAAGTGGAAGCAAAACTTAAAAAGGAAGTGAAGGATGGAAAAGGAGAAACAAAGGCGGCCGAGAAAGTCAAGCAGGCAGAGATTAAACCAACAGAAACTGGGCTAATAAAGGCCAAAACGAAAGTTAAGGAGGAGAAAGCTCTTCAGACTGTAACTAAATCGGACAAGAAAGGTAAACAAAATGAGGAGGAAACAGATGAAGATCTTAAAAAGGTAGTAGGGAAGAAGGAGAGAGAACAGAGTTAAAGCTGTCAAGGACCAAAGTCTGCCCATGAAAAACAAAAATGCAGTACAAATAAATTCCAAATGATTCCCATGCTGCTAGGAGGAGACTACTGAAAATAAAATAAGTTTCATAAACATAACAAGAAGATTCTAACAGTTTGTCATGGCTAAAGATCATTTTAATTTAAATCCTTCCTTACCAAGGACCAATTTCTCTTCAGATAGGTCTGAGACTTCATGGATTTGCTCAGTAGCATTTTATATAATGGATTGCTAGCAGAGTTATTTTGGAAAATACAAACCGTTCAATGACCTGTTAGGAATTTTGTTTTGTTTCTACATCTGCACATGTCCTTTGTAATGATAAAGGAAGTAGCAACAGAGAAAAGGGAATATAATAATTTAGCTAACATCATATTGTATGAGGCACTGTCAGGTTGTCAGGTAACGTATAACATAGTGTCATACCTGATGTAATTTAATGTGAAAGCTTTTAAACTTCTCCTAAAAAAGAAAGAAATGCTATTACTTTGGTAAGGAATAAATTAAGTGATAAAGCAAGGAATCAACATGCATCAACACTACTTAATTAACAAAGGTGTTAACTATATGCTACCCTTTTTCAGAGCAAGTCTAGGTTCTTCTACTCCTACGTTGCACTGATTGATTCTCTGATTTCCCTGTGGCTCTTTCATGGCATTAGGCACAATTTTGTATAAATGCAGGCAGCAGGACCTGGTTTTCTGTATAAACACTGCAGCCACGGGATTTTTTTTACGTTGATAGGGGCAGCTCAGTGTTCCATGACACATCTATCTGATCGTTTCAGCTGATCACCACAGATAAAGCTGTGCCTGAGCATCAGTGAAGCCACCCCTTACTGGATATCTGAATCTGCCTGGGCAGATTCTCTCAGAATTTTATAACCATCAGCTCTGGACCCCTTGGGAGCTGCCTAAATTGTATGTTTCCGGGAAACTGAGAGACATAGCCCACTTTCTGACATGCACAGGGTACTGAACTAGCATTTTTTCACAGTATTCTAGATAATTTTGTCTTTTGTTTGAAATATTCAGACCTCTGAGGCATGAAATCACAGCAGCATTTATCACACTGATTACTGTGATCAAAGAGAAAATTCAGCAAATTCTTCAGTTCCCGTGGGAGGTGCAAATCTCTTTCAATTTTTGTTTGCTGTGGCAGAGTTTCAGCGCACATGGGATCTAGTCCATACTGTTCAGGATAAAGCTCTCAAAAAGAAATGGTGTACACATGAGGCACTTTACTCCCAGCAAAATATTTTAAGTAGGGATCGAAGATTACGGAGATCAAGAGTAGTGGTGGTTTTTTGTTTGTTGGTTTGGTTTTTGTGGGCTTTGCACCACACACCTTCACCATTTTTAGCTGATAAATATTAACAAAATTATCCATCTTGGCATCAGACATTAACAGATCCCTTTGTAAATCTGCTTTGGAATGCGACCCCAGTGACTCTGCACAGAATTCTATTAGGTGAAAGTGAGGATGAGCAGCTGGAGTGGTGGAAGGAAGGAGCCTCTTCAACTGCCCTTATCACTGGAGATAGGGCTACACACACGCAGTGAAAGCTGCCTTTTCTACTGTCGTCCTTCCCTTTTCCACCATAAGCCACTGCTGCCCAGCTGAATACTCTTAGAAAATTCATTTCTATGTTTCAGTCCCACTGTGATCCAAGGTGAACATAATTTTAAATTCAATGCAGTTTTACCAAGATTTCATGATCCTGCAATCTTTACTTTTACTTGGTCAAGGGAGTAGTTCTGCTGGCTTATCTGAAACAAAATAAAAAATATAGCACTGATCACAGAAAGTTGTTATGATTTCCCTGCTGTTGCATCATTTCTTACTCAAACTGAAATTAAAAAAAGATAGGTTATCTCCCTGAGTAAATCACATGAAATTCAAGAACAGAAATATCTTTGAGTACTTTTATCATTAAGAATCTAGTCCCAAACTTTGACATGATTTATTAGCACTTAGATGAATATTTGGGCCACCATTACAGAGTAATAAGGTGAAAATCACAGTGTGAAAGTCTCCTTTTTAATAAGGGTGTTTAAATTAAAAGGGATTTTTAGCCATGAAGAGACATATGAAAAATCATATCAATTTAAAATTTCTTAGATTTCAATTTTTGCTGATTGATAGCATTCTCATGAACTTAAATGGGATGTTATAGAGCACCTTGCTAATTCATATACAGTAGAAATTGTATTTTTGTTATTCAGAGTTTTGCATTATGTCTTCAATTTGTTTTATAAATCCCAGTTTTCAGGGGTTGAGTTGCTAAAGAAATCCTATGTGGAGAAAATGAATATAAAATCTTTGATCTCAGGTACAATCAAGATTAAGGCCTTTTTTTTTTAAGTTTATTCAAGTTACATTTATGAAAAAAAAAATAAAATAAACAAACAAAGAAAAAAGAAACTAAAAAGCCCCCCAAAAGAAAAACAAACTAAAAATAAACAATGAAACCCCTCACACGCATAACGAATAACACAGTCTGTTTTATTCCTGGACTATATTACTATGTTGAAAGAATGGAATATTTTAATATCGATGAAATTGTGTGATTCTAGGCCCTCAGGCTATGTTTATATCATAACTTATATGGAAGTAACACAGGCTTGCACTCTCTCCTGTGATTGTCCATGTAGCTTATTGTCCCCTGCCATAGTTTTTGTACCATGCCATCCAGCAGACTTTTGTACAGACATTTTGCCCCAAAATGGTCCAGGGGATCTTCTCAACACATAGCATGGATAAAGGCAGCTTGTTTTGGCAAAAGAGAGGTAAGGAAAACAGCTTTTTGAAAAAGAACTGTGCCCTGTCATCAGCTTTGTGGGCTGAAGAGTTGGCATTGCTACATTTTATTTACTAATACTCATTGAGGTCTGAGTTACAACTGTGCAACTGCTGACTTCAGTGGCTTTAGGTGCGTTTAAGAACACAGATCTGTATATACTTGTTTTCTCACACATGTGCTGCTACTTTATTTTTTTTAGTTATCATATAGACCTAGTTCAGACATTACAGCCTTAAGGATGTAATCCAAAGTTGAAGCCAGGCAAAAAATGATAAATTTGAATTCCTAAATATGAAAATAAAAATTATGAATAGTCATTAGAACAAAAACAATGTTTACAGCAAACAGCTCTGTGTACCTTCTGAAAATTTTGCCCAAGGCTCTACATCATTGACTAGTACTACCCTTGTCATGTCACTAACACACACATCCAAGGACTTCTATGACAGTCAACACAGTAGCAATTACATAAATGCCCCAGCATCAAATTATACTGATGCTTCAGTGAACTATTTATGAAAGCAAATATTATAATGAGTGTCACATACTTGGGAATGGCATTTTGCATTTAGATATAACTCCAATGCCATTTTTAAAACTTAAATCATTTCAAAGTCTGCATAATTTTATTTTGAAATTGGCAAAGCAAAAGCAAGTGACTTTGTACGTGAGTAGGACAGAGACACAACAGGCAGTGGAGACAGGAAGAATTGTAACTTCTATAGTGTAGGAACTGTGCTAGAAGAGTGTAGAACAGATGGATGGATATGCTTCACTCACGGGCAGTTGGCAACTAACTTAGCTAACCACAGCTGGCATTTAGTCATCAACATTAATTTTCAAAGCTACTGGCCCTTATAGTCCACTGGGTACTCAGTTACAACTGATAACTTTTCTTCAACATTCTTAATGTTAGAAATTTTTATTAAAGTCACCAACTTGCCTATGTATAGGAGAAATCAGTAGACTATCAACATTTTTAGAATCTGAGTTTCATTTAGATTCCAAAACCTAATTTCTGAATAGTTTAGTTTTAATATATATATTATATATATACAGATTTAATATATACATATGTATGTTTATAAAGATTAGTGTTTAGAAGATAATTCTGTAGTGAAACAGTAAAATTCTGTGAAAAGTGTCATTGCTATTGGAGTGTAAGTACACGGAGTTCTCTTTATATTCCCATTCACTAAGCATACGCATTTATTATACTTTTAAAACTATATTATCAAAATACCACAATACAAAACATTTTTAAAATTTTCTATCACCTCTCTCTGAAATTAATCTTTAAGCATAAAGAAAAGTCTTTGAGCCCTGTGTCCAAACAGCAATTTGCACACTAATTGTGCATGGGGTTAGGACATATGCCAAAACCAAAGTTGTGCACTGCTAGCCCAGAAGAAGAGCTGTTAGCTCTGGCGTACTGGAAGTTCTGCAGTTCTTGGTAGGGGTTTTGAATTAGACCTGGACAACAATTGTTGCTTTTGGAACATATGAATTTATTGAAGGTCAGGAGAAAACCACAAACATATGTGTAAGACTACTTATAAAAAGACTACTGAAATGTCTTTGCACTACCAAGCTTTATCTTCACTGTTAAATACAAATGACATGTTAAATTTACTTTCTTCATTACTCTTTTCTTCCTTTTTGCTCTGTTAGATCAATATGCGTTCTGTCGCTATGTGATTGACATGTTTGCGCAAGGGGATTTTTATCCAGGTACTTTCCTATATCATTGGACTCTGTTCTAATATTCTTCTGTTTCCCTGAGAGTTTTTGCTCCTTTATGTATAAAAGTGCATTTTGTGTTATTGGGAGGTCTTTTAAGAGCAACAGAGTGTGCAAATAGTTTTAATAAAGCATAAGAGCTAATGGCTGTTTTCTTAAAGCTTTTAATTTTCTGCCTACAATGCATGAATTAAAATCAAGATTATGTTAAAAATAGAGTCAAAGGAAGGCTGTAGAAATTGCTAAAATTTTCCATGCTTTTTTTGGATGAGATGCAAAAGGAAGAAGCTTATTGTTAATAGCTTATTATCTGTTGGGGATTTTCCCCCACAAATAATAAGGCTTAAGCCCAAAATGTTTCAAAAATGAAACAGTAATTTTTGTTCTTAGTACATAAAATACCTTAGCTGATCTATTACTTCTGTGCTTTATATTCTCTCTTCCCACATCTCCATGCTAATCTGTTCTAACACAGACAATTCCTCACCAAAAAAGAAGATGGAGCTACTGATGATGACTGAGCATCATCTCACATTATTAAGTCACTCTACCCTGACCTTAGTTAATACGTATTCTTCCTGCTGAAATCTAGCATAAGAGGACTTACTATAGAGAGGACATAATCCTGGGAATGAAAACAATGATATTCATGAGAAGAGTCGAGGAGAGAATATTTAAGGATATACTAAGACTTACAAACTTTGTTTAGTCAGTTATTTGCTCAACAAGCTCTCCACTAGTATACTTCTGAATTGGATGGGTTTTCTTATCTCTGTCTTGCGGCTTACATCCTTTCTTGACATGCCCAGGTTCAGAAAGAGCTGGGAAGTCCTAAGGATGTAGCTGAGACACAAAGACTCTCACAAAGAGAAGAAGGACACAGATTTTTGTGGAGGGAAAATGAAAATCTTGGGATTCTGTACGGAAAGGGTTTGTGAAGCCTGTTCTCAAAGAGTGACATGGAAAGGTAGGGGGTTCCATTACAAGGGAACAAAATATTGTACCCCCTCTATGACTTTTAAAGACAGCTGGTTATAAATGGAGGAACTGTTTTAGGCTCATAGGGGGAGAAAGATTAACAAAACCTTCTAGAGACCTTCAAGTATGCTTTAATTTACAAAGTAACTGCCTGCACCAGTGTGAATGACCTAGTTTCTGCCTTTACACAGCTGTACCATCAACAAATCACATGACAAATACTTGCATGGAGATCTTCAAGATCTTTCTTACGGTTCTTCTGACATTTACAAGCAGCCGTGACACATGTCAAAGCCCCTTTTTTCCAGATGGCTCCCTGTCCTGTTTGACAGTCTCTGAAGGCAGAGTAGACATGCTGTGGGAAGGGAAGGTTTAGGTTCTTTTCAGTTTTGTCCTTTCCAACTACAAGGAAACTGGGAAAACTGTGAAGGGGAGCAGCAAGGTAGAGAGGGAATTCTGTAGTGACTTGAATTTAAGAAGATAAAAAACTCTTGCTTTCCAATGTTTGTCTCGCATCATACCAATGTGGTATGACTAAGCTGTGCTAAGAAACCACAGATTAAACAACTGAAAGACATTCAGTGGCCATTGGGTGGTCAGATGGCCTCACAGGTGAATGAACAACTAGGGTGACAGCTCTGGGCCCCAGAAAGTGAAAAAAAGTCATAAAGCATCTTAAATAATCTACTTTGTAGATTTGCAGGTGAAATGGAAAAGGACAGCCCCTTAACATCTCCTAAACATCTCCTAAAGTTCACCTGTGGCTTCACCTGTAAAGCAACTGCTATCTGACCTGTTAAATCAGTTCTTGACACCCGAAGTTGAATGCTGTGGGTGGTTGTTGTGGTGAAGCCAGACACGTTTTTGTGGGAGGTAAAAAACCCCAAAAAACATTGCCTTCAAATGTTTATTAGTTGCCAACAAGCTTTAGTTGACCCACTAGCTGTGAAAAGCAATGCTGAAGCATCCACACTGTGTTTCTGAGAAGCAAGGTAAAGGTCAGGTACGTTCAGCCTCAATTTATAGAAATCATTGAGGCAAGTGCCACCAAACATCGCTCAGGCAGTGTTTGTTGCTGTCTTTCTCAGGCAACCTACTCATTTCACCCTGTCTTTTTGTGAACTGAAGTATTACTATAATTCATTTTATTGAATGTGGGGAAAACACCCTTTAATGAACCTAATATCCAACTAGCTTGAAAATCTGGTATATTTTATCCTTTTATCAGTCTATATATTTTATGATAAACAACTTTGTCCAAACAAAGAGATCTGAGTGCAAATCAGCTGAGGAATTTAATTACAGTCAGTTTGACACTGTAATACTTTTAAAACAGGAATTATTTATATAAATCTCAATAGTGCCATTTGTGAAGGAGAAAAAAAACCACAATTTTTGTCATCGAAAATTCCTTCACACAAGTATATTGGCTTTCTGTAGGATTGTTTATGTCAAACATGCATTTCTGTCTTCTTGAGTTTATAAGACCAGTCACCCATTTATTAGACTCCTTAAGCAAAATACATGAATGTATAATCTCAATGATAGCAATTCAGTATTTATTCTTTGATAGTATTTTTGCAATATTACTATTATAAAATTTATATTAATTACTTCCTACATTAGATTATTTTAGTTTTATATTAATTTTAAGAAGGAATTTGTAGAAAAGTAGATCACTTAGGATGGCATTTTATAATCCTCAAATAATTAAAATTAAAAGTAAAACTCAGATTCTTATGTTTCATTAATTAAGTACACTTTTCAAAACATATAACTTAATACATTGTTACATAAACAACCTGTTGGAGGTTAGTTAATGCTCTTCTGTTAATTTTAACAAATGAAGCTGATATGTTCTTCACTTACGCAAAGTTTTGTCATGATACTGAAGCCTTAGCTATAAAAAATGAATGAAATATACGCAGGGAATTCATAGGAAGCCAAATAAGGAAAAATTCTTGCTAAGCTGCTTCATGCAGCGTTAGCTGGTTTTCTTGTTTCTCTAGCTCTTATTCGTCTCTGATACTGACCAATTGCATGCAGATCCTCCTAAAAATCACAATAATTTTATCAATATTAACTAACTTCTAAGACTACTATTTTACTTTTTACAAAAGAGAAGTATCTGGGGTTCTCAGCCCTTTGCAATAGATAACAGCAGAGTTTTAGCCATAAAGTAATTTTTTTTCTAAACCAGAAGTCTGTCTCATGAATATTATGACTGCAACAGTGACCAGTTGGAGTCTACTGAGACATTTATAGGTAGCCCACTTGAGGTTTACTGTATACATTATAAAAAATTGCTTTCTGAATTTATCTGTTGAGAAATGGAGCTTGAGAATTTCTTTTACTTTCTGTCTAACATGCTTGTGATATGTGAGAGTTTCTCAGAGGGACTGCTGAACCACCTTTCCTCAAAAGCATAAATTTTTTGATCTTATTCGTTGCTGGACTACTGTTTCTCGACCAAGTATGGGGAGTACTGTTGCAGAATTAAAAATCTCTCTGTCCAAATTGCTTTGAACTCCTGGCTGCCTGTAAATGAAGAATTTATATACACTTCTTCCAGGGTTAATTTCCCAAGTTTTACTTATAAAACTTAAAAACCAAAGGTGGAAAGTTTGTTTATTAAGAACTTTGGTACCTCTATTCTTCTACTGGCACTTCTGATGTCCAAGATGGCCTTTCTGATACAGAAGGCAACTGACTTATACAGTTTCGTGTAATTGATAATTTGTTTGATATTCCTGTATTTTGTTCTGAGTAGAATTTCTAACGTTTTTATTCATAGTTTTTGTTTTTTTATTGGTAGGAGAAAAGGTTCTATTTTAGTAGAAAATTTAAAATTTAATTTTGTAACTATTTTTGGCCTTAGAGAGTTTGAAATTCTCACCCACATGGATGGATTTCAGGGACACTAATTGGTCACTCTTTTAGCATGGAGCACATGATTCTCTGAGTTAACTGGGTCTACTCTATTTTATTCCTCCTGAGCGATACACCTGTTTTCCCACTCACTCCCCACTTTCCCTGCAATGTTTGCCAGCTTGCTTTATGTTAGCACATCCTGAACTACTCTGGCAGATCAAGGAGCTGTTCTGATGAAATGCTTTTTTTGGTTTGCAGCTACATAAAGTGGATTCTTGTGTGTTTCTCTTTTTGCATGCTACCTTAGCATGGGGCTGTGCATGCTGCATATTGCTGAATGAAGAGTGATAAGTATCTCTTGGGTATTTCTTCATAACATGGCACCTTTTCTTTCCACAGGCACACTCTCTACTCATGGTTTGATTTTGTTTTCATTTTAATCACTTAGAAGTTATTTTGTGTGCATAGTTTTATGGTGTTCTAGTTTCAGTTAAACCACTTGCATTTCACAGTACTCTGGACTCACTGCTGGATGATCTTCAAGTTGCCTAGTTGGCAACAAAGACAGTGGGAGAACAGATGTGATATTATTCACAGTTTAGACCTTCTAAAATCTTTGCATGGAAGTACCCAATTACTCTATGGAGCTTATACCACTACATACCTCTTTCTGATAACAGCTAGACTACAAAGGAATGTGGCCGTATCTTTTCCTTTCATCAGTTTACCCTGATATGTTTATTGTGTATTTCCATGTCAGGGAAACTGATGTAGATGATATTGCTAATCTTATACTGTTGAAAAAATATTTGCCTTGGAGAAAATCATCAGGATTTCTGGCATGTGTACATCACAAGAGTGTATCATATAGGGTAAAAGAGTCATCCCACCTTCTCATTAAAAAATCATTGAAGCCTTACCTTTTGCACATATGCTTATGAAAAAACAGAAAGGAAGAAAACCTGACAAACATGGAGAGTCAAGAAATTCAGGCAAATTGTGAGGAGTGACCATAGGGAATCTTAGAGATTACTTTGTCCCAGAAAGAAGTGGTAGACTGAATATCCTTCACATCTACAATCTTCTTCCAAGGCGTACCTCTTCTCCGTTGCCAAGAAGTATTCAGTCAAAAGAGAGGTATT